AAAATAAAATAAAAATGAAAAAAAAGAACACTACATTGGTAAAAAAAAAAAAAGAAAAGAAAAGAAAAGGTAGACCCCATAAAGGAAAAGTGGGTAAAAGACACAATCTTAGCATTTTCACAAGAGGAAAGGCAAACACTTTATCTCTTCATTCACTGACTATTCACTGAATGCCTTCTTTGTGCCAGACAAAATGTTAGGTTTGGCACTTCCCTCTTGGAGACAGGCAGCTTCCTTCCCTCGTGAAGCTTAGGATGAAAAAGCAACTCTAAACAAGTAATTCCAAAGGGGATGAGAAGTCCAGGGACCCGATCTGAGAAGAGGGGAAAGTTCCCTGAGGATGTCCTGGAGTTTTGTTGTGGATGTTCTTCCAATTTTATTGAGCTATAATTGACATACAGCGCTGCATACGTTTGGGATGCACAGCATTATGATTTGACTTACATACATCATGAAGTGGCTATCACAGTAAGTTTAGCAAACATCCATCATCTCATATACACACAAAATTAAAAAAATGACTTCCTTGTGATGAGAACTCAGGATTTACCCTCTTAACAACTTTCATATGTAACATACAGTAGTGTTAATTATATTAATCACATTACACACTTAGTATTATTTATCTTATGACTGGAAGTTGTATCTTTGACTACCTTCATCCAATTCCCTCTCCTCTACCCCATTCCCAACCTCCATCTCCACAGACGTGGTAACCACAAATCTGACCTCTTCTTGTACGAGTTTGTGTTTGTTTGTTTTTGGAAGCACATCGATCTACAACAGTATGTTAGTTTCAGGTGCACAACATAGTGATTTGATATTTCACACATCACAAAATGACCACCAGGATGTCACATTTAATTCTGGTAACTGGTGTGTATGAGTTAACTAAATGAACATGAGGATGGTGGGAAAACTTAGTAACTAAAGAAAAGTATTTGCGGGAAACGCAGGGTGTGTGAGATTTCAATCACGGCCTGCCTAAGTTTGGGTCCTAGCTCCCTCGTGTGTCACCTCCGCCAAGTGATTCCTCACATCTGTGCCGCAGTTTTCCCACCTTAAAATAGGATGATGGTAATGGTACCTACCTCACAAGGTTTTTGTGAGGATTGAATGACTTAACATGGGCAGGGCCATCAGCACCATTCCTAGAATGAACAAGGTCTCAGTATTAACTGTCATTAAATGTGGCACCATTTTTCACCTATTAATTCAAAGATTTTCATTTGAACCAGGGATGCTGAAGCTCTGGGGTAAACACCCCATCTGTTGCTGGTGGTACTTTAAACCAGCATGGTCTTTGGGGGAAAGCACTTTGGTCATACATACCAAAAGTCATAAAAGATTGTATCTTTTGATCCATCATTTCTCCTAGAAACTTACCTATGGAAATTTTTCATCCAACAAGGAGTTATTAAGTTCCTACTCTCTGCTAGACCTTAGCTATAACTGAGTCATAGCTCCTATCTTCGAGGAGTTTAAAGTCTAATGGGGGAGAAGACAAGGAATCAGGACACACGCTGCAGGGCAAGAAGTCCTGTCTGTGATGGACAAGTTGAGAATACAGAGCAGAAGCACTTGATCCACACTTGGGGTGAGGCTTGGGGGACCAGGAGCTAGATCTAGAGCAGCAGTTCTCAATTAGGGGTTATCGCACCTACCTGGGGGGACGTTCGGCAATGTCTGGAAATGATTCTCATCATGACTGGGTGACTGGGGTGAGTTGCTGCTGACATCTAGTGAGTAGAGTTCAGGGATGCTTCTCAACATCCTACGATGCACAGGACAGCCTCCCTTCCCCCCTCATGCTCCCAAGTTGTATCCTTTACAGCGAACCGGTGAATGAATGCACATAGTGTGTCCCTGAGTTCTGTGAGCCATTATAATAAATTATCAAACCTGAGGAGGGAGTAGTGGGAACCCTCAATTTGCAGCCAAGGCAGAGCGAAGTGTGGGAAAATCCACTCACTGCTTGTGACTGGCATCCGACACAAGGAGCAAGTCTTGTGGGATTGAGCCCTTAACATGTGGAGCCCATGCTACCTCCGGGTAGGTAACATCAGAATTGGATTGAACTGTCTGCAGAGAATTGGAGAATTGCTTGGTATGGAAACCCCACACATTTTGGTATCAGAAGGGTTGTGAGTAGAGAAACTGATCCTCACAGGGAGGCACCCTGGAGTAGCAAGTTGGGATTAAACTACAATGGTCCCCCAGAGATGGCGGAAACACTATGCATTTTATCTTGTAACATTTTTTAAATTATTGTTTACCATGTCTTTATGTTAGCAAGTTTTCACCCTACTGACCAGTCCATATTCAAATTTCTGTAGTTGTCCCAAAATATCCCTTATAGTTGGTTTCTCCAAATCAGGATCTAACCTAGGACCAGATACTGCATCTGGTCGTGTTTCCAACTTGCTTTTTCCACTGGACATGTCATGGAAGTCTCTTCCTAACAGTTCTTATGCAGCGACTTCATTCTTCCTAACACATTAAACTCCAGTGTATGGATGTAAACTAACTAATCCTCTACTGATGGAACCTTTAGTGCTGCAATGAACATCCTTGCATAGAAGTGGTGTGAATCTGCGGGAAAAACAGAAACCTTATTTTTCAATACACTGAAAGTCACTCTAGTCCCAAGCTCACACTGATAAACCACATTATCTTTTCTTCATCATGATAAACACATCTGTCAAGTGGACCACCAGATGCTTGCACTGGTCTGAGCAATGTTTCCTTCCTAGCTGCCGGGTAAGCTACTCAAGTCAGATGATCACTACTATTTGGTCAACACAGTAGGGGCCAGTCATAGTGTGGGAAGGGCAGTCCAACAGGGCATACAGCCCATGCAAAAGCTCTGAAGCAGGCAAACAGCCCAATCTGAGGAACTAAAGAAACTCAACATGGTGAGGGGAAGAGTAGAAGAGACACTGGAGAAATGGGCCAGTCAGAGGGCCATAATTTTGGAAGTGAACCTGAGTAGTAAGTAGTAAGGAGCCACTAAAGGGCTGTATTGGGACATAATGTTTGGATTTGTTTCACAAATACATCAACACCTATCACTATCAGTGCAAATTTACTGGAATCACAAGAATTAAAAAAGACAATCATGGGAACATAATGCACAGCATGACTATTATTAGTAACACTGCATTATAAATTTGGAAGTTATTAAAAGTAGATCTTGAAAGTTCTCATCATAAGAAAAAAAAATTTTAAGTATGTATGGTGACAGGTGTGAACCAGACTTCTGTGATTATTTTGCAATACATACAAATACTGAATCATTATGATATACATACACCTGAAACACATCAATTATAACTCAACTTTTAAAAATACCTGGAAATGTCCAAAGCCAAGAAGGAAGTAGAGTAACTGGAACAGTTAAACACTGCTGGTGGGATGCAGAACGGGTTTGGCAGTGTCTCAAGTTCAACATGCATATAACCCAGCCAGTCCTACTAGTAGGTAACCTCACCCAAGAGACATGAGAACCTATGTCCACACAAAAGCCTGTACATGAATGTTTACGGTGCCTTTATTCATAACCTCCAGTAATTGCGAACAACCCAGATTATGTTTCAATGGGTATGTTTTAGACTACTGATACAATGATATAATGCAATTCTAATTAACATTAAAAAAAAACCCGACTCAACCATGAATGTGAACAAATGTCAAACATGTTATGCCAAGAAGCACATTGTGTGAATGGAAAAGACAAAATTAAAAAAACAAAAATTCTATCAGTATAAACACTAGGAGTGGGAACTGACTTCAAAAGAACAGAGAACTTGTGGTGCTAGTGGTGCTTCCCAAATGGTCACAGCGCTCGCTGCATCACTGGGTTTGATGACCCATTGTTTAGGGAATATAAATTGTTACAAGCTCTGTGGAGGTCAGTTTGGGACCATTTACCAAAACTGCCTGAATCGACTCAGCTAAAAGCTTTCATTCTTACTTGGTACTCGCTCATCTGCACACATACTTTAGGTTACTTACTACAACATAGCCAAGCATCCCACTTTCCGAAGGTTTGCTTTAACCTAAGAACTTCATTTGTACCTGTCTTCGTTAACTGGAAGATTTTCGCTTTTGTGAAACAAGACAAAAAGGTAAAACATTGGCTTGTTTCCCAGAGAGCCATTATAGAGGCAGCATGTCTGAGCAGTGGGAGTGGCACTGCCAACTGCCTTCCCTGGAAAGCACACCCAGCATCTCAGCATCCACAGCCATCGCATTGAACTGCATGTGCACATCTGCCCTGTATCTCACTTCATGCATCCGTTAGCAAGATGTGTTCTAAGGTAATTTCTTCGCTTTTTCACCATTTAGGCTTACAAAAGGTGTCAGTCATGCTCTACATCCAGATAGCGGGGGAGACCTGAATAATTACAAATGATGGAAACCCAAGTATCCACAGAACGCAATACTACACCATGCAGCAGTGAAGACGGACACTTTCTTCGGAATGATCAGAACATTATCTGTGTAACCCATGTACAGTACATAAAGGTTTTGGTTGAAAAGGGGGGGAAGGGTAAATAATTACACTCATTTGTTATAATGTGCTTTAAGAAACCAGATACGTAAGAAACTAACAGCAATGACTATGGGGAGGGGCTGAACTGGGCAGATGTGGGTGAAGTGGACATCATACCACTGAAAGGGAACTAAGTTTGTGGTCCAGACAGCCCAGCTGTTTCTTACCCAGGTAGCTGGCACTGACTTGTTCAGTGATGACTGGGGAAATGTTATATTGGTAGGCGCTGGGTGACAAAGCTGAGAAGCCACTGAGGAAGCTAAGATTGCTGATCCAAAGAGGATGAAGAGGAGATTCCGCTGCAGCTGAGACCACTCCCCTCCAATCCCACTCCTCTTAGAACAGCTAACAACCCATCTGATTGGCCAAGTCATACCACACCCCCAGGCAAATTATAAAAAAATTTTTAAAAGACACAAAGGAAACAGATCCGTTCTTTAATTAGGTTCTCTGTAGTAAGTTTAGAACACCAATTTGTGAGGATAAATTCCATTTGTGAGAGCAAACACAGAGCGGAGGTAGCCCTGGAGCTGAGGGACAGCTTTGATTCTTCGCAGAATTTGTGAGTCCACAGCTTTCTGATCAGCCTTGCGCTGCTCTGTAATCTCGTATTTCTAAAGAAAGGAAAAGCATTTAAAGGTAGGGTACAAGTACCAAACTCTACAGTCAACTAAGAAATCCCCTCTCCCAAGTACTCAATCCCAGGAATATTCAGAAGGCAATTTTGATAATCCTTTCCTCAGAGAACTGTGAAATATAACCTATTTTAAATATAATAGTAACTCTTATCTTTTTGTCTATTTTAATACATAAAGGATAAATGATGGTAAATTCCCAACAGAACAGTAGTTCACGGAGTTCCACCAAAACCTGAGGATTTACAGTTGAGCTCTCACCTGCCATTAAGAACTACTGAATTTAGCAGAATCTGGATTATTTCCCAGGTATCATTAATAATAAAATCTCATTATTCACAGCTTTTATTTTTCATGTTTGTTTAACAATTCTTTTTTAAAAATATTTTTATTGATGTACAGTTTACAGTGTTGTCAATTTCTAGTGTGCAGCTCAATACTTCACATAGGAACACACATATATTTGTTTTCATATTTTTAACCATAAGTTACTACAAGATATTGAATACAGTTCCCTGTGCAATACTCGTTTTCTACATACAGTAGTCAGCACCTGCAAATCTCAAACTCCCCATCTATCCCTTCCCACCCGCCTTTCCCCCTGCTAACCATAAGTTTGTTCTCTATGTGAGCCTGTTTGTTTTATAAGTCTGTCTTTTTTTTTTAAGATTCCACGTATAAATGATATCATTTTTCTTCCTCTTTCTGGCTTACTTCCCTTAGAATGACTCTCTCCATGTTTAACAACTCTTAACCTTGTTTATTTTCACTCCCAACTAGGGGAGCCAAAGCTGTCAGCGGCT